CGCTTCGCGGAACATTTGTGTCACATTCAACTTCAGCTGAACTGTAAAAAGGAATGGTTTGCGCCATGGGTCAGGTTAATAAATCTGTTGGTAAAACCTCTCCGGTGACGGACAGGTCCATAAACAACCTGAACAACTCTACCAGAAAGGGGCAAGTGAATAAATCTTCAGTATGGACCTCCCTCTGATCAGTAAGTAAACTTGTTGGTTAATCAGTAGTGAACGGTACATGCAGACTGGCGGTCATTCCACGATAGCAATGCACCTATGAAACAATAGACATAATTTACCCTAGGTTTCTAATGGTGAAACACCGTGACTATCACAGTCCACACATGCACCACGAAACATAACACCGCCACTCTGCCCAATTGCGAAGCCCGGGGGTCTCAGCGATGGATAGGGACGCAGATCTGTACCTAAGTTTGCCTGGGGTGGCAGTCATGTACAGGGACGCCGACCTGTACCCAAGTTTGCCCGGGGTGGCAGTGAGGTACAGGGACGCACACCTGTGCCCTAGTTAGCTCGGGGGTGTCAGCGATGTACAGGGACGCACACCTGTGCCCTAGTTAGCCCGGGGGTGTCAGCGATGTACAGGGACGCACACCTGTGCCCTAGTTAGCCCGGGGGTGTCAGCGATGTACTGGGACGCACACCTGTGCCCGAGTTAGCCCTGGGGTGTCAGTGAGGCTGCAAAATGGTGCCAATATCTTGCAAATTTTGTGGTTGGTTCTGGAGAGTGTGCAGACTTCTGCCAAGAGCATCCCAGACGTGTTCAATGGGATTGAGGTCGGGAGACCTTGACGGCCAGCCCATGACGTTGACTCCCGCATTCTGGAGGAAATTCCTTGTCAAAATTGCTGTGTGGGGTCTGGCATTGTCGTGTTGGAAGATCAAACCGGGTGCATGTGCTGCCATAACAGGCAGAAGTTCTGGTGCCAGTACCTGGTCGCGGTAAGCAACAGCGTTGAGGTTGCCACGGATGACAAGAAGCCTGGAACGTGCAATGCCACAGAAAGCACCCCACACCATGACACTTCCGCCTCGAAATCTGTCAACTTCCTGTACACAACACTGGGCGTAACGTTCATGACGGCGCCTCCACACCCTCGCCCTACCATCAGCAAATCGAAGATTAAATCGGGATTCATCACTGAGACGACTTGATTCCAATTCCTCTGAGTCCATCGTAAGTGTCGCTGTGTCCACAATTGACGTTGACGTCTGCGTAATTGAGTCAGAATCGGCCCGCAGTATGGCCGTCTTGCTTGAAGGTGAGCAGTTCTCAGACGGTTTCGAACATTTTGCGCACTCAGTCTACCCCTAAACAGTTCATTTCTGGTTGATGTAGCCGTCAAAAATCGGTTACGGAGGTGACGTAAGACGATCTGACGATCCTCTGCATGTGACGTCACACGTGGTCGACCTGGCCGAGGGCGATCAGCGGTGGTACCCGTTTGCTGTAGACGCGTCTGTAAATCATAAACAGTCCGTCGACTACAACCCATCGTCCTTGCGACTTCAGCTACGGACGTTCCCGTCTGCAACATGCCGATGGCACGTTCACGTTGCACATTTAAAAGGCGTGGCATGACAAATGGCCGTAAAGACTTTTGTTTTCTTGTGGTTTTCTTTCTTTTTTAATGACTGCTGACAAGTATGGCTGAAAACACGTGCGGTATTATGGCCAAGTGACCAGTTGCACGTCAAAAACCACTTTTGCCACTATAGTGCTGTGTACATGATTTTGATCGATTCACCTGCACAAAAACGGGTGTTATCTGAAGACAATACGTGGCCATTACTGTTTAAATACACAATAAGGGCCCACAACGATAACTGGTTAAAATGTTTAAATTTTAGGATTGTGAAGTTTTTAATTTGGTTCAGTATATTTTGTATGTCTTGCTTTCCAGTTTTAAGGTAAAGACTCGATCATATTTTGTTAGGGGCGAGGTTAGCTGGAGTAGGTGGTTTGTGTGCTTCCGGTAACTCGATCATATTTTGTTAGGGGTGAGATTGGGTGGAGTGGGTGGTTTGTGTGCAACGGGTAACTCGATCATATTTTGTTAGGGGTGAGTTGGGGTGGAGTGGGCGGTTCGTGTGCAACGGGTAACTCGATCATATTTTGTTAGGGGTGAGGTGGGGTGGAGTGGGCGGTTCGTGTGCAACGGGTAACTCGATCATATTTTGTTAGGGGTGAGGTGGGCTGGAGTGGGTGGTTTGTGTGCTTCGGGTAACTCGATCATATTTTGTTAGGGGTGAGGTGGGGTGGAGTGGGTGGTTTATGTGCTTCGGGTAAAGACTCGATCATATTTTGTTAGGGGTGGGGTGGAGTGGGTTGTTTATGTGCTTCGGGTAAAGAAAGAGGCCATACCAATTCTGTTTGGAAAAAAGACAACATTCTGTAAACTTGTGGTTACAGAGAACGAAGCGCTGCCGATCTACGTGTACAATCACACCAACCTCTTTCATGCCGTCGTCGGGGGATATGTGTACAGAGGCAAGAAGCTTCCTGATCTGTACGGGCGCTATCTGTACGGAGACGCCATGACAGGGTGAGTACATGCAGGTGTGTGGCCAGAAGCTAATTTTACATAGAGGCACCACGGGAAACTTGAAGGTGGTCCCTCGGATTATGTAAAGGAGGTCACCCGTACCACCTGAGGAGGTTACCCGTACCACTTGAAGGTGGCTGTGATATTTGCATTGTGATCACCCAGCAGCCTGTACTTCCTTGTAATCCATGATTCCAACCATTTAGGTAGAGATATATACCCTTATGCGTGTCTGTGTCTGCGTCCGTGTCTGAATCTATATCTGTATCTGCGACCTTTTCTGCATCTCTGTCTGTTTTCAGCGTCATGTCGGCATTGAACCACACCATGTTTGTTCCAGGATCCAGTGAACAGTCTGTCTGTCGTTTGTGTAAACCCTCAGGTCGAAGTATTGTTTCCAGTATTTGTAAAACAATATAACAAGCCTCTCCCCCTCCCAAACCTCCCCCTCTACATCCATCTCTCCACCTCCTCCCTCTCCACTTTCTCCATCCCTTCACCCTCCATCCCCGGAGCATCAATGGCTTGTCTCTATAGGTAGTATTATATCACATAGTTACCAGCAGTAGATATTTTCTGATGTTCTGTTTCAGGGAGAAGACGGTTACTTGTGGGTGTGGTGGCAGGGGAGAGTCTACAGTCGTGGTGGTCATGTTAATGATGTCGGTGCTGACGTGCTTCGGTTCTTGGCGTGATGAAGACGTCAACTGAAGACTTATATATTTGCTAGATCGTAATCCGAACTTAAGTTTGGTAACGTGAACTGTACGTCATATGCAGACCTCGACACATCAGGGTTCTGCATTCTTATATTGGAATATGTTTGGTCAGGAATGTGTCACAAAGTGCTAGGTTCGAGGGTTGTTCTGGGGTAACCATGAGGAACTGGTATATTCACAGAACGTAGGCACGGATGTTTACAAGTGATATTGGCATGCATCAGGTAGTGTGGCTTAAGACGCGGGCAGACTTTGAGATGCATGACTCGGTGGAGACATTTCTGAATGTTGTGATACACTTCATGATACGTGGACGTAAAAGTGAGGTGAAGCACCGTGACAAAAACCTTTAAGTTTATATTTAGATAGTTCGAAGCCTTGTGTGTGTTTGTTACGAGAGGTGAAATTGACCCAAGGATAATAAAATTATTTATTCCTCAACATGACCCCCCCCCCCCCCCCCCCCCCCTTCAACATTGGCACGGTTTTGTCGGCGATGTTGGCGCTGTGCTATCAAATTTTCGTCGGACTCCTCATTCGCCGGTCGGTATCCCCTCATCGTGGATCATCTGTTGTTGCTGACGATGTCGTAGTCAAGGCTCTCCATCGGTGGCACAGGAAGGGGTGTTCTTCCCCAAGTGTTGTACTTGTATCTTCATGGATGGCCTTTGGTGTTAAGCCCCTTCTTATTAAAGACTTGGTCACTTGACGTCCCCAAAGTTTGTCTGTTTTCCAAAGGTAACACATTCCCACTTATTTTATTGACTTGTTTGGAAATCACGTGCAGCATTTCATGAAAAGAATAAAGACACTGTGGTAACACTTGACTGATTGTTGTTTTGACATTAAGTGGAACACATTGGACACATCTCTTCTTAACTTACATACTTCTCTATATGTTTCTCTGGTTCGCGTTTCTTTTAGGGTGAATATATATCAACAGGATTGACACTCGACCAACACGTAACCAGCACCGCAGACTTCAATAACTGAACAGCATTGAACATTTTGCTAACAAAGCCATTTACAAGCATTGAATGTCCTATCTATACATATTTACGTACGTATTTCGAAGTTACTTACATCAAATGACCCCTTGGCAGGCATTGTTTGTGTAATACAATCATTCTGTGGTGACAGCGTTAAAGTTAACTTATGCATAACATACATTGGATGTTTTCATTCTGCATTTAGAGTGCCTTTCTTTTGTTGTTAAACGTAGTCGTGAATGATATTTGTGGACAGTTCAACACGTTTTTATCAAAGATGATAACAAACACATATATAATCAAGATCCTTTTCTTTATATATCCTGGAAACATAAATGAAATGTGTTGCTTCAAAAAACATTTGGCACCAACTACGTCGTGGTCAAAGGGAGACAATTCATGTGTCTTTACTTTCACAGATGGAATTCAGTTACGACGTGGGCTCACGGATGAGAAGATATGCGATTAAACACACAACAATGGAAGAAACATTGTTCACAGTTAATAGTAAAATTTGACTTCATCAAGGGCTCATCAACCCCGTAAAGAATCCTAGTTAGAATTGGTCTTCAGCATGCCTGTCGTGAGAGCCGATCTACGGAATCGGGTGGTCAGGCTCGCTGACTCCAGACTCTAGTATTTACAGACGCCGTTATAGCTGGGATGTTTCTGAGTGTGGCGTTAAAGAGCAAACAAACTCACCAATGGAGCATTAAAATGCGAATATCACTGAAGTGTTTATTCAATATACATGAAATATGACTTTCACATTAATGATAGTGGTTATCCTATCAATCTACAAATTGCTGAAGTGTGTAGGCATTAGTAAATGTAAGAAAAGATATATTATATTATAGTGTCACATATTGTACATAATTTAAATATAATATGTTATTTAAACAATAAAACTGTGCAATTTCCAGTCTAGTAAAGCTTACGAGACACTTCTTAAAACATTATTAAAACATATAAATTATATTAAAACCCACCAAACATTGAACTGTAGCTGTATAGTAAAAAATACATACATTTTCTATTCATTAAGTACATACTTAATGTTTGTAGAGTATTTAGGTGGATGCCTCAAGCACCAGTAAAAGTATTATCAGCGAGAGTTACTGATAGAAACGCTAGTAAACAGTCTTCCTGGATAATGTAAGTGAACGTGAAGCTCTTTGAGTAAGTGCAATATTCAGGGTTAAATTCCTTAGCCTCACAGAACGTACATGTATGTGGTACTCTGTGGCCCCGACATTTGATGTACGTATTTGCGTCCCTTGGAGGACAGGAACCTATAGTCGTGGCTTTGAATCCCAGATTCGCCCTGATTAAGTTTCTAGGTTTGTCAGCACCGTTTCCGTGCTCGTGGGTTTCTTAAAAGTTGTAAACGTCTAAGACCTGCATAATGTCGGTCTTGTCCCCACATTTAACTGAAAAGTGCCACTACAACTGATCTAATAATCCATTATGTATGTGCTTGTCATTTGTATGCGGAAACGTTCGGTCGTTCTGCTGATGTCTCAGTTTCGGTTGGTCACATGGCTACAATGTACCCACGTCGTTGTAAGGGTATTGCTCGAATACTGCTAAAAAGTGGCGTATCATCATATTCAACCTATGTTCAAATGTGTTTGGTGTTTCGGGTATTTTACACAAAACAAACTGTTCATTTTGGGCATATTTCTGAATTTTCTTTATAAAAGTCTGCGCACGATAGGAGTATGGTTTGCTTCCTGGGGTCTCACTGGGGAATACTGCAGGTGAATACCTTAACAGCACCTCCACTGTATTCCCCCACATACAGTTTACAGTCACAGAACATCAAGCCGTATGGATACTGTAGTCCACCCTGTGACGTCAGCAGGTCTCTGACAAACTTCCCTGCTGGTGTCAGTAGTATCACCTTGTGTGCCAAGTAGTCCGCCACCAAGATGTGTCCTGTGCTGGTAGTTGTGATACCTCGTGGTAAACTCAGTCCCCTCTCTCCTGTAAGGGTGTAGGTGAACACAGCATCTCCCCCTTGTGTGATATAGTAGACAGACTGTGACACAGCATCTGACAACAGGATGTCGCCCCTGTCTGTAGCACAGAGGAAGCTGGGGTTACATATCAGGTTCTTCTCAGTGTCGAGTGTACTGACTGACCTCATCACTCTCCCCGATACATCCAAGATATCAACACAGGGAGGATCCGTACAACCTGCTGCTAATGTTGAAGGACTCAAGGCTGTCAGACCCATGTACTTCTTCTTTGTTGTGACACGTGACTCTAGTACAAGGTCAGGGGTCACCAGTACCATTACAATCTCATTGTGTGACCAGAATGATACAGCCACCTGGTTGTCCCCCAGCCTCGTCACAGAGTGTGGGTTACTTGCAAGATCCAGTTTACTGTGTCGTGATTTGTTATTCTTTGTGTAGATGGATTTCAGACATGTATTGCTGCAGTCAGTGACCACCAATGTCTCCTCACCATCCACAACCAGGACCGTGATGCCATATGTATACGGCTGCGACCTGTCGCCATCGACTTTGATGCCGACTGTCTTGTGTAACGCCGGTCTGCACATGACGTCGAATGTGCCACTCTGTATTTTACCAATTCGCTTATCCATGACGTCACAAACGTTCTGTTGAATTCTACCAAGTTGTACATCCTTGTGTAATTTCATCTCATCTATTTCACTCACAAATATAATTTTTGTATCACGAACACTGCCTGTGAAAGTGACATCCCTGTCTGTTGCCTCCTTGATTGCCCCAGACTGACACATCTGGTAAATGTCAAACATGTCAGTCTCACTCCCAGACTTCAACACCTGGTTGAGGTACTCTATGTATTGTTGATACATCTGCATGTCTATTTCCCCTGACTTTATCCGCCCCCTCAGTTGTCCAGACTGCTTCTCTGTTATCTCATTCAGCTCCTCCAGCAGCTGTTTCTCCTTCTGTTCACTGCAAAAAAAATCCATATATACAAGCTTGTATATCCTTTGGAAAGATGATATTTCCAAAGGATATACAAGATTGGAATGATGATATATACAAAAATATACAAGTTTGTATATACGACATATACAAAAATATACCAATTTGTATATATGGTGTATCCAAATTTGTTTTCTTTGTATATATTGGTAAAGGGAGATAATTATGATGTATTTGTGTATAATTATTATATATGTGCAAATTGAAGTGTTGAGCACTGTGTTTCTTTGTATATGTTGGTAAAGGAGGATAATTGCTATGTATTGCTCTATAATTGTTTTGTATGTGCAAAATAGTATCAGAAGTTACAAAATACTGATATAGTGGCGGGTAACATTACTGGAATGTTTAATTAGTACTCCACACTGTTAACGGGAGTACATACTGTCCTTGCAATGATATTGACGGGTGGGCGGTTGAGGCGTCTGGTACTTTTCCTGTCGCGGTGCTTGGTATGTGAGTAGACTTTATGGTCAAATGCACAGAGAGGATTAGCTGTCGGGGGTGATTGCATTGGCGGTAACTTCTGTATTGAAAGTGTTTGAGCTTGGATTCGTTTTACGGGGAGGCCGCGATGTGTTTTGTAACATGCTCTCGTGCACATTTGCCAACAGAGTGGATTGCACAAAGGATGAAAACTATTTTATCACTACTTAAAAGTGTTGAATTTGGTTTGTTCTGAGCTGTCGGTTTCATTGTAGATATACATTGTTAATATGTGAAATCTCGGCGGAAACGCGGAAAATCGCGTTTTGTAAAACGGTAGTCCTTAGAAAAATCATCTACAAAATATTATCAAAGATTATTTTTTAAAAATACTACGAAAATATTGTGTTTTCTTTGTATATATTGGTAAAGGGAGATAATTATTATGTATTTGTGTATAATTATTATATATGTGCAAAGTGAAGTGTTTTAAGTTGAGCACTGTGTTTCTTTGTATATGTTGGTAAAGGAGGATAATTGCTATGTATTGCTCTATAATTGTTTTGTGTGTGCAAAATAGTATCAGAAGTTACAAAAAACTGATATAGTGGCGGGTAACATTACTGGAATGTTTAATTAGTACTCCACACTGTTAGCGGGAGTACATACTGTCCTTGCAATGATATTGACGGGTGGGCGGTTGAGGCGTCTGGTACTTTTCCTGTCGCGGTGCTTGGTATGTGAGTAGACTTTATGGTCAAATGCACAGAGAGGATTAGCTGTCGGGGGTGATTGCATTGGCGGTAACTTCTGTATTGAAAGTGTTTGAGCTTGGATTCGTTTTACGGGGAGGCCGCGATGTGTTTTGTAACATGCTCTCGTGCACATATGCCAACAGAGTGGATTGCACAGAGGATGAAAACTATTTTATCACTACTTAAAAGTGTTGAATTTGGTTTGTTCTGAGCTGTCGGTTTCATTGTAGATATACATTGTTATAATGTGAAATCTCGGCGGAAACGCGGAAAATCGCGTTTTGTAAAACGGTAATCCTTGGGAAAATTGTATTATGAGCAACCGGATGCGTAAATAACGTGTGTAATATATTCCCGTATTATATTTTATAATACTTGTTCTTTTAATATTGTTATCAATGAGAGAACGAAGATTACCTTGAAAAAACACAACAGCATGCATATGTTCTAGCAAAAGGAAACTTGATATATATTCATTTGGCTTAATTTCTACTTTGGAAAACTTAGTTGGCGCTCTAAAAGCTTGACGCTGTATAATTTGGCACGCGCATGGTTGGGTGCAAACCATATGTACATCAATAATAATAATAATAATAATAATAATAATAATAATAATAATAATACACCATGATGGCAGTTTCAATGTAAAGATTAAGTATTTCTAAAGATATGGAAAATAAATCTTGATAACTGCTTTAATCTTTGATCTTTGGGAAAATAATAATGGAATTGGTTGAGTGACTAACGTATTCTACATTAAAAGTGACAGGAACGTGATTTACATAATTAAAATATAGAATAATATACAAATTATAAGAGAGGGTTTGTGATTTATTTTGGGATGAAGTCAGTATTGAACTTGCGCTTTCCGACATTATGCGTATTTCGCACACGGTTAAGAAAAAAATGCAATTCATTTATTTATAAGAAGTACGAATGCATCAATCCTACATCACAGGACCATGTACATAATTTGTTGAATGTTATTTCGTGAATACACAAATTGCATAACACATTCCCCGAGGACAAACCCAAATTGCCCGTCCCTTTGTGACAGGTGTTAATTGGAGAATGTATTGCCACCACATTATGTCCTGGCACTTTTATGACATGTAATGAACCTAGTCAATCCCTGGGTCTGTAACAACAACATGGGTCTAATAAAATCAAAGTAACATAAATGTTACGTAATTCGAATTAAAAAAAAGACTGAAAAAATGTAACATGAATATAATTGCCCTTTTGAGGGTAATATAATTTTGGGAAAATATACGTTTTCTTGTATTTATGGACGACTTCACACAAGCTGAAAAATTAAACATATGTTTATATAGCTATATTTACATACATGGCATTAACATGTAATAATAATATTGATTATGTTTGTTAATTTGAACATTTCGTTGTAATTGGTATCCTGAGTATGTTGTAATAATGCATGTGTTTCTGATCTTATTTGACGTAGATTACATGAACTAGTAGAGTGACTTTCTTTCATCAGCGTGGAAGGATTACCCACACATATACCCTTATTATAGATATCATATCTAACTGGTACTAAAAGTTCACTATCAATCTCCTCTGATAACAAACTTACATTTAATATCCCCAAGCTACAATACCAAGCATGCTCATGGAGTAATTATGAGAAACCCGAATGATATCCTGTCTACGTGGCCACACCCGGTGATTGTTAAGACATTCAGACAATATGGCAGTCTGTATTCATTTCTTATATCCCAAAAGTCCCCACCAAGCTTCCTTTTATTAACATTGGGATGAGGGGAGATATACATATTGTATTAAATAATACATCAATACATCAAAACAGAACAAAAAAGATAGGTCAACAGTGCGGTTGATGGAAAGGGGTTTCCTAAGAAAAGCTATTTAACTGTTTAATACTTAATACGTGTCTCAAAGTATGTATTAATTGTTATTACTAGTTATTATATATGTGCAAATCCACTCGAACGTCGGATGTACATGGCCGATTTCAAAATAGCTAAATTAGGCACAAATTGTTTCCAATAAACCACTGATTAGAAACTCACTCAACCTTTAGAATAGAATCGTTTCTTAATATTATAGTTGGGGCATGTGAAAAAATTAGTGCAGTGTACCATTGTGACAGCCACAAGAGCATGCATGATGTGTTATCTGAGATGTGTTTTTTAAGCCGATGGAAGTTTAAAGTGACAAAATCTGGTATCATGGCGTAACTGAATATAACATTGTCCAAGTTTAAAAATCCTCTTTTTGCGGTAACTATTCCAATTATTAATGGTAACAGGTAGGAATGACTTGGCATAGCATTCAGTTCTACAACGTATAGCCTGTGAATTGGTTAGATTTCTTTATTGTATGTAATCACTAACAGCAAAGATGTTTTCCACCTTGTAAAAAGGTGTAATGGCTACGTTGGTCTCACTATACATTTTTACGTGGCTTGTACCTCTTATCGCCCCACAATTAGTCCATAATCAGTGAGTAGGCGAGGTAAAAATTAACGTCTCATCGGCATTATTTCAGCGTCCGTAATGAATTTATGTGTAGACATTCTAGGATTAATTCTTGTTCTTTGGTACAATTATCCAAAACATGGGAGCAAACTATTGGCAATATATATATGCTTGTTCATGACTTATGTAAAAGGGGTTATTTATCTGAGTGAGTGAGTATGGTTCACGGCGGTGACACCAGAAAGGTATTTAAGACAATTAATCATAGGGCTTACCTCTTTAACTCGCCAATATCAGAATCTGACTGAAATATTAATACCAAAGTCCTTTCATTTTAAGATTAGGTTTTGCACTTGGGCACACTTTGACGTGATATTGAACAGTTTTCTTTTTCCCTGGATTAAGATTTACTTGCATTAATTCATTTGGTAATTTTCTCCAAATCGGCATTAATATTTTACGCATTAGTATTTGGAACTGTCCATTTTGGGAATTGGGTGGACCCAACCGCAAGCACAGTAAACATAAATTCCAAGGTGAATAATATGTACCATAATTTGTTGGCTCGACATGCAAGACTCCATAATTTTAGCTATAAAGTCAAAGTAATATTAAATTATTTTTTTTTATAAATAATTCATTGATGTATTTGACATGAGACGTAGCGACACTCATGTATTTTATAATAATGTACAATTTCAATGCCTTAAATCTGTTGCATGTACTATAGTTTGTTGGCTCGACATGCAAGACTCCATAATTTTAGCTATAAAGTCATATTAATATTAATTTTTTTTTTTTATAAATAATTCATTGATGTATTTGACATGAGACGTAGCGACACTCATGTATTTTATAATAATGTACAATTTCAATGCCTTAAATCTGTTGCATTAAACAAATTCTTTGATTTGATGTTGTCATATTGTGACTCAATTTGTGTCTAGTCTTCCAAATGTTCTATTGCGAATACATATAGTGTCAGCGCTCATGATCGCCATATATATGAATGAATGAAAATATCATCATTAATAAACTTACTTGAGCTCAATATGTGTTCTGAAGACAAATCGCTGTAAAACATCTTGCACGGCTTCGTTCACGTTCACCCTCAAATGTACGAAAGGAAAATCTGCGACTGTGCGTGTTCAATGTTCGAATGCATTTATGCGACAGGCGGTCGTTTATTTATTAAGATTCCACAAATTCATAAATCACAACTGATGTAGCTGCCTTGGTTAACTGGAGTCAGGATATAACTAATTACAAACTCTGTTCTAATTATGCTAATCGAGGAAGTGCATTGAAGTGCAATATACTGGATGACAAACTTAGTAATTC